AAGAAGAATTAGCGTTATCGACTGATCTCACGAAATATTAACCGAATTTCAGAAATGGCATACGGTGAGGAAAAATTGCTTAAGCAAGTACTAAAATCGACCATATTGCGAAATAATCATATAATATTTCAGACAGGTCAGGACGCCTGTTTTTGAGTGAACACCAATTTAATTGCCTGCAAAATCCGCATGCACTAAAAATGGACATGTTTTAGATGAAAACTGAGCATAGTATATTATCTTGGGCTCGCTTCATATAAAATCACTTCTTCTTTAAATTTTATACTGATTTTGTTAAGTTTTTCAATTCTCAGAGATATTCCAGTCCGGTCTGTCGTTACAAGTATGTTTGATGTTTTCAAGCTACAGACTGTTTGATTTTCGTGTATAGAAAATGCTATATTCCCGTTTGTCATTCGGAAGGTAATATATAGGTTTCATAGAAATTTTAAGTGGCTGTGAAAAAGGTTATATGCGCCAGGTAGGACATCCATAAACAAATGGATATGACAATATTTAAATGCGCATTTTATGGTCTTAAACATTTCATCATTAGAAGATGGCCTGACTGGCTGAGCATGTGTTAAGTAGCTTATATCAGAATACAAGAGCATTATAAATCAGCATAAAATTAACGTTAATTAGGTGGTAGCCGGCAACCTAGCATGCCCCAAATATCATCTATGTATGCCGCACGACAATCAGTCTTGCAACCCCACTTATAAAACCTTTCCCAATCAAAATAGCACTTTATTAATTCAATTAACATTAGTCGAAATCGGTCACTCTTTCTAATTAGCGGATAGGTATAATGCTATTTAAATGGTCATTGAATAGCCTTGAAATATATAAAAACTGCAAACTTTGTAAAAATCGAAAGCTGCCCATTTGTAGAGTATACATTTTGAGGAAAAGGTTATTTTCTTAGGAAATAAGTACGATAAAGGGTAAATGTATGCCTGTGCTTTCTGCAAAAATCAATGAAAATACTCTGCACTAACAAATTAGTTATTTTGATTAGTTTGCTTTTGTTTTTCAAGGCCGGCAGTCTAGTAAATTCAAACATCTTATGCTTATGCTACAAGCATGCCCACGCATTCTTCTAAGGTAACATTATATTTCAGATCTCTGGGTAATTTTTTCATGAGGCACTTCACTTAATGCCTGCTGGAGGGCTATGAATAGTATAGTGATAATTTGCCAGCATTCGTTACAAATAAGACGTGAGGAAGAAGTACAATCCAACTTTAAATGACCGGGAATCAAATTCTTAAAGGTAAAATCAAAAACTCGTCTTTCACTTAGAGTTATTCGGTGATTAGAAGATGTATATATTACTGTAATTTTATAATCCAAAAACTAGCCGTTTACCATTTAGAACGAAACAACTGTTAGTCGAGTTTCAAATTGATATGAAAAGCAAGATTATATGCAAATGCGAAACTAAACTGATAGTCCCGCTGGAAGACTACGTATTTCTTCCATAGGTCGAAAGGTGAACCACCATCCTGTTTTCTTTATTGATAATCATATTAGCCACATGAATACTCAGTAAATTAAATTAAAAAAAAACCAATTTCCCTTGCAAAACGAGAGGTTTTTGAATCCTCCGTAAGTTTCCCGCCAATGTTTTTCCGTCCACTTGCAGGCTGGTTTCGTTGACTTGTCCAGTTCAAATGAAGCGAGCTGAGTCATAGGGCCAGTTGTGATCTTTATCTGTTTAAGTGGACTAGAAGTTGATGAGTAGCTCTATTGGGAATACCCCATTTCTCAGGATGAGTCATGTCATAGGAAGGTACATGTATAAGCCACCACGCTGCCTGTCATGGCAGCGTGGGCCGCGGTTGTGGCCACAGATCTGATTGGTCCCTGTGTGAGCGAAGTTCTTTTGTTCTTTCTTCTCAAGCGGATGGTATAAATACACACAGTTTTTGAGTTAGAATTGCTTGCCATTTGTGAGCCCAATTTGCTGGTGACGATTGTCTTCTCTTCCTCTCCCGTGTTGGATTTAGGGACTAAACACGGCCCGCGAGGGTCCTAACAAGTTTATCTGTGAGAAGCCTTTTTTGTTGTTTAAGACCGACCTGCAGTAATTAGGGAGTAATTGCAAATATGTTTGCTTCTCCTAGACGAAAAAAACTATGCTCTGAAGTTTGTTACGTTGAGCGTTAATCAAGCCGACTGTGTTGATTGATAATCAGTCAGTAACCCCTCACTGGCGACGATCACAAACCCGCCGCTTTTTTTTCAGACGCAAAAACATGACTGGGTCAATTAAATAACCAACTCGCAGTCAAAAATTAAGCCCCCACTCCCACACATAGAACGTCATATGTTCAGTCTGAGATGCTGCTTCCGGTCACATGTTGCAGTCTTCCTGCCAGTAAATATAACGACACTCAGCAGCGGCAGAGTCTTCTAGTGTATAAACCTTTCTTAAAATGTAAAAAATTATGGATAGTGTTTGGTCTAGCTTATGAGTCTACCAGGCTAAGGTGGATTCCAGTCATGTAATCCACTGCGGCACCACGCCTAACCTTGAAAACCTACTCAGTTAGCAATGCGCACAATCTGAGAACGTGGCAGCCGTTTCACGTGCTCATCCAAAGACAAACGACGCAAGCAGGCTTCTCACTTACGAAGGCAGCTAACGAGACTGACGTAAGAGCATCATGAACAGACCCAGCAGATAAGATCTCTCAAGAATTCGATGTGAGTCCATCAGTGCCCATCACGTCGACAGCAGTACCCCAGCTGCTTGTGAATTAAAGTAAAAAACTTCAATGGATAGGCCCGTAGTCCAGTGCAGTGTGCTTGAGCTTATACAAGCGTTGAGGATGTCGTAAGGCGCTTTTAGTACGTTTACCGTGGCACATTCATTCAACCAAAAACGTGCAAAAAGCGTTCCTTATAATCATTTGGTCGGCCTATTTTGTTTTCTGGGAATATTCACATGAAAAATGGGTATATTTTGGACTTAACTAATCTTCACATTATAAGGTTTTTAAGACTGCTGGATGACTGTTGATAAAGCATCCTAGCTGAACATTTCTCAATGATGTTTACGAAGTCAACAAAATGTTACACACCTACTTCCACATTTTATGCTAACTATAGAACATTTTGTGGATAACTTGGGGAAACATATGCTATTATTTCCAAGAAAGTTTTGGAGGTTACTGGACGAGAAAATGCAGTGGCAGGTTTTATCAAAAGTATTCGGATCAGAACTGTTTAGGAAGAGAAGGGGTAAGACCAGTAGAACTTGTTTATTGTATACAGAAACTATGCGGCTGTCTGAGTCCCCGACGCGCTGCAGGCCCGGGACCTGCACGCCTGTCTGTCTGCTAGCGTGGTGTGGACATGAATGCGTAATCGTCATGCGAGAGTGAGTCACTGGCTGTTTGATCAACTGCTTGGCACATACGGCACCTGTGATTGGCTGTCCCAGAGGCAGATAGATGAGTGCTCCCACGTGATGGCCTGCGGGCTTCGCGTCGGTGTTGG